GGGGGGGGGTGTACAGAGAGAATGAGAAGTTGACTGACTTGGGAGAAACTGAGGAAGCAAAACTCAGGCTTGAGTATGGGGACAGGTATGGGGGGGGGCACTTCGCTTTAGGTTTGTGTAACCCACTGATGGAGCCTGAGGGGAGGGAGACAGGCATGAAGATCTGGAGTCTAATCTGGTGGACCAGTCGGGCACCATGTGAGGTGAGAGGTAGGGCCACGTGTGAGGGGGCTAGAGGCCACTACAGATGTCTTAAGGTTTCCTGTCAATTCTAGAACATCTGTAGCTGACCTCACCACAAGTTCTATAGCGTGCGGCTGAGGTGACAGCCAGTAGGCATGGTATAGATGCTACCACTTCTCTGTCTAAGAGGTGGTGGTGCTGGTAGGGAGAGAGGATGTAATGCACTATCTATCTGCAAGGATACCTACGGAACTGGCAGTGCTGATGGCTCCTGAGTGGCTGGAGGCAGAGATGGGACTTTTTACTGTAGGCCTTTGGTACCTTTTGAACTTCATATAATATGATGGAAAAATGGAAAAATATAGTGAATGTTTAAATTATAACTGTATGGTGAAACCCCTACTTAAAAAAAGAAAAAAAAAATGGGGGCCAGGAATATGGCTCAGTGGAATAAGTGCTTCCCTAGCAAGCATAAGGGCCTGAGTTCAATCCCTGGTTCTGAAAAAAAAAAATAAATAAATAAATAAAATTACAGTCAAAGACATATCACCATTAGTGTGAGCTACCATGCCTGGTTTTGATGGCCCGCTTGGTGTGGGGCTGGCATGGCACGCAGTACCAGAGATAAAACCTGGGTCCCTGTGCTTGCCAGGCAGGCACTTAGATTGCTGAGCTGTCTCCCCGGCTCTGTAATAATTTTTTAAAATTTATACTTTTGGGCTGGTGAGATGGCTCAGTGGTCTAAAGCACCTACTTAGAACAAGCTTGGCAGAGCACAGGGACCACGGTTCAATCCCCCAGTACCACATGCCAGCCAGCCCCACTCCCTGGTGGGCTGAGCTGGCCACACACACACACACACACACACACACACACACACACACATAAATAAATGAATTAAAAAAAAATAAAATAAAATTTATACTTTTACCATGTATTTTGATTATAGCTTGTATGTATCACCTAATAAAAAACCAAATTTCAAAAGAGAAAAGAACAAGGTGCTTGGGGTCTGAGAACCTGCATGCTCTTTGGTGAGTGTTGTAAAAAGGTTCTACTCAAAAAAAAAAAAAAAAAAGTTTATGCCAGGGAGATAGCTCAGTAGAATAAGTGCTTGCCTGGCAAGTGCAAGGTCCTGAGTTCAATCCTCAGTACCACACACACACACACACACACACACACACACACACAAAAGCAGAGTTGGAGTAGAGCTCACAGGAGAGGCTACACTTCAATGCCACTGCTTCCAAGGGCCACAGATGTTCTTTTGTCTGCTACTTGCATCTTGTTCAGTAAACAGAGAGACTAAATCAATATTGTACTTAATTATTACCCATCAAAATGTATAGCAGCACAAAACTGTTTTTAAAAGACCTTACCCAGGGAACTGGTGGATAAACAACAGCTGGAGGATAGACGAGCTAGTATTTGGAACCTAACCTTCTACACAATACCAGCTTTGCCACCTACCAGGAAAACAGCTTGAAAACAATACATGGCACTGAGGTTGTGCTTTTTAGCATTCCTGGTGACTGAGTTATTAATTCATAGGCTTTTCTTCAGCAGGGAGAAGTGTCATTTTCTGGGTAAGGCACTGGTGCACCAGGGCCATGTGACCTGGCTGAGCTGGAGTCCCCAGGGCCTGAGGCCACAAGAAAGCCCTCCGGTCAGTGTGGTTTCCGTCCCAATGCTTCTTTCTCACAGAAAGGTTCAGAGACTCCAGTGAATGGACCCTTTGAAGAAATCTTACCTTGATACTGAAATCCATAATTACAATAAGGTAGGCGAACAGCAGGGTCTGTGTTAATACCATTCATTCAGAGCTCTGTCATGTTTCTTTAGAATGTATCCTCTCTAATGAATGCTGTATATTTTACTAAATTCTAATTCTGTCAAGCACTGCTAGGGGCTACGTTCCTACACTTAACACTATTAAGGCAGAAGAAATGCTCAGAATTTCTGTAACATAAAGATAACAATGCTCTTTAAATAGTGGTGACTGAGAGGCCAGGGAGATGGCTCAGTAGAATAAGTGCTTCCCTGGCAAGCGCAAGGGTCAGAGTTCAATACCTGGTTCAACAACAACAACAACAACAACAACAACAACAACAACAACAACAAATCATAAATAGTGGTGACTGAAAAAATCCCAAAGAACCACCTAGAAAGGCAGCGCACAGCCCAGTGAGAAAGGCAGCACAGCCTGGCCCCCAGATCAGCTGCAGGTTGGGCCAGGACCTTGGGGAGACCACTGGTTTGGATGACAGATACCTCAGGGTCTCAAGATGCATCAGGGGCCTGGATGTTCATTAGGTCTTCACTTTGCTGTGGAAAGAAGATGCTGTCTTCCTTCATCCACGGTTTGCTGCCTAAATTACACTAAATGGGCAAAGCAGGTCAAATTGTTTCTGATGACCATGAGAAAGCTGGGACTTCCTTACATAAAGGATACTTCCTCAATAATAAGTAATCAAAGATCTTTGATTATACCTCCTCCAGGGTCTCAAGACCTAGAACCCATGGGTGGGGACTTGTGAGGCTGCAGGCTTCTTCTCCTTTTACCCAGACCGCTTAGTTATGCCCTGCTCAGATTTCATCCTTGTGACCACCAATCAACCTCAGAGGCTGTCCTTTATCTTTATCTTTGGCTGGTTCTTCCAAAAAAAATCCTCAAGGGGCCCAGGGAGATTGCTCAGTAGAATAAGCACTTGCCTGGCAAGCGCAGGGTCCTGAGTTCAATCTCTGGTACTGCAAAAACAAAACTAACAAACAAAAAAATACCTTCAAACTTACCAGGGAACAAAAGCTGCTTGCTGGCCTGGCTATGAA